CTAAATTTTTATTGAAAAATATTTAATTATTACAAAGTTATTATTAAAAACTCAAATTGCTTTTTAATCAGTAAGGATGTAGTTATCGTCGCACGTACGGAATTTTGAAAATTTTAATTTTTAAAAAAACGGCGACTGATAGAAAATTTTCTCACTATTCTCACCGTTTTTTTTTTTGTTTTAACCCGGCTAAAAAAATCTTTAAAATAAAAATTTTCAAAATTCCGTACGTGCGACGATAACTACATCCTTACTGATTAAAAAGCAATTTGAGTTTTTATTTTCAGATGATCCGTTTTTGAGTTATCGAACCGACCATGGAGGGGGAAATTTTTTCTAGTGCTCCACGAGATTGTTAATAACTTGTAATAATTAAATATTTTTTAATAAAAATTTAGGGTAATAATCTTTAATGTACCCTTAATAAAATAAAAAAAAATTAGAAAAACGGTTCACCCTAAAAGCCATCCCTGCAACTTCCCGCTCATTTTGTACTTAAAGGCTTCAAACTACACATTACGTTTTTGAGCTCTTCGAGCTCAAAAATATTATTTTTGTGTCAATTTGAGCTCTTCGAGCTCAAAACTCTAATAGCAGTTTAAAGACACAATTTTTTGAATTTTTAAACGGCAATAACTTTTGAATGAATGAACCGATTTTCAGGTGGTTGGCGGCAATCGACGCAGTTTCTAAAGCTCCATGAAAAATTATCAAGTTTAAATCGATCAAGCCATGAATTTCGAAATTATTACAAAAAAACACTTTTTTCGATTTTTTTTCGACAACGATATCTCACGAACGCATCAACCGATTCTGACGTTTTTGGTGGCAATCGATGGGGGTTTTCAAGGTTAAGAGCTGATTAGTTTTTGAGACCGATCGGTTCAGCCAATTCGGAGATATTTAAAAAAAATGAAAAAAATACAACTTTTTTTTTTCACTTTTTTTTGGATTTTCTCGAAATCTACCGGTCCGAATCGGTTCAAATTTTCAGGAAATCTAAGTTTAGTGAAGCCCTTTCGAATGACACCAACCGCGATGAAATCGGTCAAGTCGTTCAAAAGTTACAAGAGGTCAGGGAAGCTTCCTGTGACCTTCAAACGTCGAGATCTGATGAAAACTCGATTTTTGTAAAACGGGGTGAAAACAATAACTTCCCGATTTTTGAAAATATGAGATTTTTAGCGGGAAATTAAAAATCCGATCCCTAAATTCCTTTATTTTCCCTGTCAAAAAAATTCCCGAAAATCACCTCTTTTTTTCGATCGTCACAGTGGTGTTCCCCCTTAATTTTTAAAAGTCGTCAAAAATGACTTTTGACATAAAATTTTTAGCACAAATTTTTTCATATAATATCGTTAAATAGTCTTATGAGACTGAAATTTTTCAGAAAGTGTTTTTTTTTTCTTTCAACATAATTAATTTTTGAATTTTAGCAACAGAAATGAATTTTCTTGTTTTTTAAAATTTCCTTTGAAACAGGGAGGTGAAAAAAATCTATGTAATAAGCGTAGCCCTAATTATTAATATTGTGAGAAACTTTTTTTGATCCTTGAAGTTTTGTAACTCTCTAATGGCATATCAACGCATTGAGACCAAAGCATATTTCTGTATAAGTTGAACTTTGACTTCAAATTACTCTTGAAATTTTCATTTTATCAAATAATCGTAAGTAATCTTATTGGTAGAACGTTCAATTCCCTATAAAATGTAATCTAATCTCACAGCATTGATGAGCCATTAGAATTGCAAAACTTTAAAGTTCAAAGTGGAAAAATACCAAAGTTTTGAATTTTTAATAACTTTTGAAAAAAAATTTTAATTTTTTTTTCTTTCGCAAACCTTTATTTTATGATTACCGAAAAGTTTTGATCAAATTTCGTTAAAATTGAAGGAAGTCGATACGTACTGTTAGTCGATTAGTCGATTCGATATGGAATGACCTAGATTTTTATATCATTCAACGTTTGTAGTGTGAATATGGGGAATTAGAGTAAATTAGAGATGAGTCTAAAAAAGTGTCAGATCTTGAATTTTACAATATTCCTTGACAATAATAACCATAATAACGGTATGGTTACCATGGTAACGACTACTACAGCAATGATTACCAGGAATTTTCTAATTAATTACTCTCCATCATTATTAATTTGTTTCTTTCTACCTATTATTTAATACTTAATACATAGCAAAAGGAATTTTGTGTCGACCGGATGCCACGACATCTCTCGTTTCTCTTTTTATTCAATTTGTGATCAGTTGTATTTAGTTTAATTGAGATCATAGCAACATTATTAGAAACAGAAAAGGCGCGAGAAGCACGCATAATGGATCCAGTATGAGAAAAAACTTACCTAGTATATTATTTCATAACTAAATGTGATTTCCCTGATTCAGAGAGATGATTTGAAATGATAATCATCATGTTAATTGTATATCTATATAGCATTCAAATCAGATGCTTTTGAATCATTTCAAATTAGATTTCTTAATCAGGGTTACATATATGTATTTAGCTGACTTACCTTCTTTGGTTCGCAGGAGTGATTGTTTACCAGCTCCGAGTAAAGAAGGAGTAGTTGAAACACAAGAAGGTACATCTTTTTCAAGAGTAGAGTGTATTCGTTCACATATTTGCAACAAATAATTTGAATTGATGTATGGATACTTTTTTTTCTGTCAAAAATTAATAATAAAAAATGTTTTAATCCAGTATTCACATCGATAAAAAGTAAAGCTATATTAGATTTCACTCTTGGTAAAATATGTTAGATTTTAATGAATAAACAATGTTGTATCAACTACACTGAGAAAAAAGTATTATTATTACACTTATAATTTTAATTTTAATTTGTTTTGTTAGCTTTATAAGTCAATTGATTTGTGCCAGTAAAGTGAGGTTATAAACATCCAATAGTCTGTTATATTGGTATACTGATAATCAGTATACCTAGGTATTGTGATAATCAGTATACTTATTTTGATAATCAAAATACCACGTATTCTTAGTAGCACAATACCAAGTATTCTGATTATCAAAATAAATATCCTTAGTAGCAAAATACTTTTTTCTCAGTGTACTATATGGTCAAAAACAGAAGACTATTTTTTTAAAACGTGAGTAACTTATGTTTAAAAAAAATGCCATTGAAACATGATATACATAGATCGATGAGTCAAAGTTTCATGTAGCTCTTTTCAAAACTGCTAATTAATAAAAAATTTTTGACAAGAAATATAAACAATAAAAGATAAAAAACGGGGTTTAAAGAACGAGGAGATATAGAAATTTGTTTCAAATTAGCATTTATAAAGAGTAAAATATTGAAATTACGTGCGAATTATGAAATTTGCCTCTATCAAATTTTCTGATTTGTTTAATTCCCCTATCGACTTTAGACCCTTTTGTAATTGATCCTTTTTCCATAGGCGTAGTCGCTCAAATATACCTGGAATATTATCTTTACATACTTCTTTCTTTCACACGTAGGTACAAAAATAAATGGTAAGTTGAGTTCAAAAAGTGACCAGCCAAATTATATCAACAATAAACCTAAGTTATAAAATATAACAAAAAAAATTGATATTTTTTTTAATTCATCCACAGATTTGGTAGAATCTGGCGTCAAGTTCCGTTCAAATCCGTTGTAAACGGAGCGCCAGATTACCGAGTGTGTTTACTGTAAGCAGAACGGTATTTCGAGGATGCAAAATTTTATTAATTCTACGGTACTTCTTGTTCCTAAATTTTATATTATAACAGTAATTCATACTTTATTTTATGATATTAATTAATTATCTTCAATTATAACAATTAATCTACTTGAAATTATTAAATTTTATTAGCACAAACTATAATTTATTAGCACAAACTATAACAAGCTCAAAAATTTTGATCCTGACTTTTTTTCGATGTAAAAAGTGACATGCCACAGACTAAATAATTCGAGAATGCATGGTAATCCTCCAATAGATGGGAAACTACAGTTAAAAAAATACATTTCACAGCTTGCATCTACACCCGCTAGGGTGCGCTGGAATTATTTTTACATAAACTGTAGCTTCAAGGGGATAGTTTGCTATAAAAAATACAGCCAACGCGAGATTTAAATTGGTACCAATTGTAAATTTTTATTATAATTACAAAAAGTACTAAAATCCGAACAAAAACAGTTTCACTGTAAAAAAAAATTGCGCCAAGTCCACGTTCATAAGACTATTGAGAAAAAAAAAATTTTTTTTTTCTTTACAAAAAGATATAAAATAAGAAAATTAAAAAACCCAAGTAACCTATATGATTGTATATGATTTTCGGAAATTAAAAAAAATTTTGTTGTAAATTTAAAAATTAAAAAAAAAATTTTGGAACGTACTTGGTGTGCGTCATTGTGTATTTCAATTTTTTCAAAGTCCTAGTAAATAGAATTCACGAATTTCATTAAAAAGTAAAATATTTTGCAACCACGCACACTAAATACGTTCCAAAATTTTTTTTTTAATTTTTAAATTTACAAAAAAATTTTTTTTAATTTCCGAAAATCATAAAAAATCATATCGGTTACTTGGATTTTTCAATTTTTTTATATTTATATCTTTTTGTAAAGAAAAAAACTAATTTTTTTTTCTTAACGATTTTTTTACAGTGAAACTGTTTTTATTCGGATTTTAGTATTTTTTGTAATTAAAATAAAAAATTACAATTGGTACCAACTTAAATCTCGCGAATAGCAAAATCTCTTTTTATAGCAAACTATCCCCTTGAAGCTACAGTTTATGTAAAAATAATTCCAGCGCACCCTAGCGGGTGTAGATGCAAGCTGTGAAACATCTTTTTTTAACTGTAGTTTCCCATCTAATGAAGGATTACTATGCATTCTAGAATTATTTAGTCTGTGGCAGATCACTTTCCCCATCGAGAAAAAGTCAGGATCGAAATTTTTGCGTTACTATAGTTTGTGCTGATCAAATTTAATAATTTCAAGTAGATTAATTGTTATAAGTGAATATAATTAATAATAGTAAAATAAAGTATGAATTACTGTTATAATATAAAATTTAGGAAAAAAAAATTACCGTAGAATTAAATAAAATTTTGCAACCTCAAAATACCGTTCTGCTAACAGTAAACACAGTCGGTAGTCTGGCACTCCGTTGACAACGGATTTGAACGGAACAAATATAAATAATGCTGTGAAGCGGGAAAGAATAGAAGTTACGGATAATTATTACGTGAAGCGTTCCAACACTCACGTAACAGGATAATTGGTAGGAAAGGATTGAGAAAGAATTGTGGAGAGGATCATCTTAATGTGAGTGTATAGAATATGTGAGAAAAAAAAAATTATTAGATAGCTCGGACAGAAAAGTTAATTTCTAATGTATATACATCAAATTTGTGAGAATATTACAAATTGATAGAAAATAGCAAATTTTTTATTTTTATGCTACTCAC